AGATGATCGACACGCATCACGGCCAGACCAACATCAGCTGTTGTCACAGATGATCGACACGCATCGCAGCCAGACCAACATTAGCTGTTGTCACAGATGATCGACACGCATCACGACCAGAACAACATCAGCTGTTGTCACAGATGATCGACACGCATCACGGCCAGACCAACATCAGCTGTTGTCACAGATGATCGACACGCGTTACAAACAAAAAATCATCTGTAGTAGACAGAAAAGAAAATAGACACGCCGGGTAGATTTCAAACATTTATATCATCAGCTACGATGTACCACATACATCATGCACACGATGCAAATATATTTGCCGTTACTCTGTAACTGCGAACTTACAATACGTCGACTGCCCCTCAGGAGTTACGCATCAGATAATACACTACCATACATGTCACTGCACATATACCTTCAATGGTAAAACAACTGATTGCCGTTTGTACAAAAATACCAACGACAGTTCACAACTTTCCATTTTCTATCTATTAAATTATATCGCAATGGCTTAAAACAGACGTGAATTCAAGAAAGTGCGTGATCGACTGGCAAATGTCAAGTTAGTAGTCAAAGGTCAGTTTCCAGGTGACAATGACAACTATTAATAGAACGGCCAGACTCAGTAACACAATAAAGCCGATTGGTATCGATCTGTCCGGGGCCACGAAAGTCTTCATAGCTGCCACAAGTTGCCCTGCTTGTGGTCTTTTCCCATGTGTGGGGTGTAGCATGCCACACACCAGGTCCTGGACAGCGGCCGAGGCGACAATACTCGCCACCGTTTCTTTCACATCCTGTAACGAACACAAAAACAGCGGCGTGACGCCGTCACTCTTCTTCACTGTTGGAGGGTAAATCATATCTTTGGACAGATATTTATCATATTTCACAATTAAGGACACCATGGATAAGAAAATTAGTCCAAGAGAAAAAATGTCACTTGCGAAACGAAAACTGTCTCCGGGGTCTTTTATCTCAGGAGGCCAAAATTTGTCTGAACACCGGGTATTTAAGAAGAGGTAAAGATCAGCATGTGTGGTTATATCCAGTACGTTGGGCACCGTGTCCAGCTGGTTGTAGCAGTTGCCGTACTGGGCCAGGGACAAGTTGGAGATTTTACAAATTGGACGGTGGCTACCAGCTGAAAGTAGAACGTTATTGGGGTTTAGATCCCGGTGGACAATTTTGTTCCGATGCAGGTGGAGCACACCTTTAGCCATGTCAAACATCAGACTTTGTAGAAACTGCTCTGGTGGTTTTTCCTTAATCAGAAAGTCATTCAGGGTGCCAATGTTGCAGTCTTCAAGCACAAAATAAATAGCGTTTCCATATGCAACGCTGTCGAGAAATGTTGACACGTGAGTGTGTTGAGGCAAGCCGTTCATCATGCTGATTTCATTGTCCACCGCCCACTGCTCATCCACTTTCTTGCCCCTCAGCGTGAACGACGCCCTGCCCCGCCTCGACTCATACAGCATTCCAAACTCGCCCTTCCCAACAGCACGCACGATGTGATAGTTTCCGAGACATGTTCCGGGAGACAATGGTACATCCGACATTTTGATGTCGAAATCCGAAACACACGTAAAATCAGGAGATGAAAGGGAAGGTGTCAGGTATGGCGTGTCCCCGCTCAGCTGGTGCGGCAACAGGTGCGTCCGTTCCCAGACACTGCCGGATGGAGATACGCCGTGAGAATCACACCTTCAGAGACGGCCCCCTCAACACGGCTGCAAATGTCGATGTACACGAGCGATGCCTCCAACCAAGCAGATTAACCTTTCACGAGGCTCCAATGATTACGCACATACAAAGGGAGGCAACTCTGTATAGCGCTGCTATTGATCGTGGAGGTCCCCGTCGGCAGTAAATCCATCAGAGAGATGTTTAGATCCTCTCGTGTTAGAGATATCGTGCTCAGTCAAAGTGGCTTACTGCGTCATGATCAATACAGTAACCCGCCACACAACAGACGGTTTAGGAAAACTGAATTCACTTGACACATTATTTTAGTTTGGGGAAGAATCCCCACCACAATCTTGATATTCTGTCACTCGTAAGAAGTGGTAGGCTCATAACGGTACAATCTGTCGATGAGAAATGTGGCAACACGAATGTGCCTCAGGAAGCACAGCAAGCAACAGTTTTACTGGAGGCGTGCCTTCCAACAGAGTGCTGTGTGGTTTGTCGAAAGCATTCTTGTTTCACTGAAAACACCTTGAGGTGAATAAGGTTTTGGTGTACAGGACTGACTAGAGTTGACTGACTAGTCCACATTTTGTTGTGTGGGAAATGTACATGTTGACTATAAACTGGCTTGTCTCTGTATTGTCTCACCCTACCCAGAAATCCATCTTTGTGTTGTGATAGGTTTGTTTTTAATGAAGACACTTCACCGACTGGTGTCGTACTGCACGAGCGCATCTCTTTATGCCGGTACTCAAACAGTGTTAATCGACACATTTATCCACCGATAGTCAATGTGCAAGCTTAGCGGCACTAACTAACACCATGTGACAAGGCTGTGTCGGTATCACGGGTCTGTTATTGACACTCTCCATCTCTAATTCCGTCGGGCAACGAGTTGATAGAAAATCGTCTAATGACGGCTGCAAGGTCATGGAAAAGGTCAATTAGTTTACAGCTATTTTGGGGAACATGGCAAATATGTTCGTTACACTTGAATATAAAGAACCATAGAAGTATCTAAATGTGAAATGAGCTTTCCTAGCTGTCAATCACTGTAATATGGACAATGTCAAATTGATTTTTTAAACGGCATCGATATTGGTTAGGCGACTTTGGGAAGGGCGGCCAGGACTGCGTGCTTCTTTCAACAGCGTGAAGCTCAGTGAAGCCCAGCTCTCTGCCCTCGGGTCTTCTCTCCAGTGAGTATCACAGTTCCTCAGCCATATTGTTACCCCGTTCACCCACCCCGTACTGCAGTGCAAGGGCCGAAAATAGATCTGAACTTTTTTTTATCATCAGATTACAATTATTCGAACCCAGTTACAAGATTTTAAAATAAAGAATTGTTCTGGATTTGTAAAATTAAATTGAAAAGGAACCATAGGTGGAGCCTGGGATGATGGGTGTGTCCCAGTCATTCATGATATGAGTCTGACTCCTCTTTTAATATATTTTGTAGGGTCTGAGAGACCGATGAGTACAGGTTATGGTATGCGAAAATGAAATAACGCCAAACTGTGTTTATGAAACGTGTTTTACAGAAGTGACACTGATGTACATTTTGGCAGCTACTTGTACGTGCATGTACTGATATTCACATTGACAGCTACTTGCACGTGTACTGATATTCACATTGACAGCTACTTGCACGTGTACTGATATTCACATTGACAGCTACTTGCACGTGTACTGATATTCACATTGACAGCTACTTGCACGTGTACTGATATTCACATTGACAGCTACCTGTACGTGTACTTATATTCACATTGACAGCTACTTGCACATGTACTGATATTCACATTGACAGCTACTTGCACATGTACTGATATTCACATTGACAGCTACCTTAAAGTGTACTGATATTCACATTGACAGCTACCTGTACGTGTACTGATATTGACATTGACAGCTCCTTGCACATGTACTGATATTCACATTGACAGCTACCTGTACGTGTACTTATATTCACATTGACAGCTACTTGCACGTGTACTGATTTTCACATTGACAGCTACTTGCACATGTACTGATATTCACATTGACAGCTCCTTGCATGTGTACTGATATTGACACTGACAGCTACTTGCACGTGTACACAGGCCCCATCAATAGATGTATGTTTTAGCCGCGGTCAGCAAGGATCTAGTTGTAGGAGCGTGTCAAGTCTGGGACTGTCATACCAGTGGTTGATAAACCTGATCACGCCCCCTGCTCACCATGTCAGACAACCCTGCAAGCCCCATGCATCAACTGCAGTTGTTGGCACGGATAAATGAGATTATCTTGTGTTCGAATCCCAGAATCGAATATCCTGAGCCCTTCATCACTTTGGACTTTTCACTCATTTTATGCTGACATGCGGTGATGTATCTGAATTACTGTTCAAAGCAGCCTTAAACCGAGCTCACTCACTGTGCAAGCATGACGTAGTTCACCAAAGCCACAGCGTCAGGGGGTCTCTTAACCAAGTAATAAAAACAAACGCTTCACTTAACGTTATCCAGTGTGCTCTAATCTACGTATATATATAGGGTTGAGATTTACCAGAATTTCTTCAGGATCTTACAGGCAAGGCTAAATCAGTCACAAACATCGTGCATTTTCTAAATATTGATCTTCTGAAGGGGTCTCTGATTAGTGAAGATGACAGAACTGCAAGTGGACGAGAACTGCCTGGCTCTGAAGCAGCGGCAGATGAGCTCTTCCTGTGTCGGGGCTCCATACCACGCAGTTCCCCTGTGTTCTGTAGAGGAGCTGTGGCTAACGTGCATAGACAAGTAAGATAAACAAACAAAACCAAATTAAAGATGTGAGAAGAATTAGGAAACAGATGCTGTAATCTCACCCACGGAAGACCTTATCTGGCTGGCATTTACTTTGCATGTAATGCGCACTCGGCCTACAGGTATTTCTAAATGGGCTGTGATTTTGTAAGGGAGGCTTAAAATATACCAAATAAAAAGGTCCACAGTTTTAAGGTTGTACATGTTGACGATACCAACTGGCACTTGCAATCTCGGAGCAAATTCTAAATACTAAGAGTAAGGCGCCACGCGCTATTTTTCAAAGATATTCCTCACTTAGTTTTCTTTTCGATAATCAAAGTATCAATAACAGTGGATTTAAAGGGAATACGGATTCTCAAATACGCCGGTGCTGTACACATTATGATACCCGCTACAGTCTAAGGAAAACCGTATTTCATTGACATTCGAGTCTTGCAAACAAACCCGTCTTGCATATTTACAGAAAGACCTGACAAACCGGTTAGTGGTGTGTGTGACGGCCTCCCGGCAGATCCGTAAAACCAGTTACTGTCACCTGTACAATATGTCATCATCACGTGACACGGATTGTTCAGCGTTTCCCGATAGAGGATAATGGCCTATTCATTGCTGTCTAACCCATGTTTTTAACAGGTATGTTTAACTTTGGTTCATATGAAGGATACGGCACCAGCTTATGGTTATTTCAACGGCTACAGGACGTTGTGATAGCCGTTTTTAAGTAAATTCTCTCTCACGATGATCCCTACCGCAAGATGTCTCGCAGGTATGCACCCTGTACAACAGGGGGTCTCACTGGCCCTGGACAACTGTGGGCTCACAGGATGCGTAGCCTGTGCTGTACAAGTTTCACCTGGGAAGCCCTCGGAAGGTGCGAGTCGGTGTCTTCGAGACCTATATCTGGAACAGTGTTCGTCATGCTTGAGGACATCATAGATCGGTTTGTTTCCAAGGCTCAGCTCGACTGAAACAGTGTGTAATTATTACTAACATACATTTATATACCGCACTTATCCAGATACTAGTATCTTTACACTACGCTATCAATGTATCATTCGGAACTCCCTTAGGAGTCTACAACCCAAGCTGCCTATTTGGGCGCTATAAGGTTTAAACATCTACCTCATATATAGGGTACCCATTCACTGCGTGGTGAACAGAGGTACATGTGAACTTGGCCAATGGTGCCACCACGATGTTTCGGGTGTATGAGTGTATTGGTGTTTCACCACCTGGCCATCTACCGTAGGATGAGTGTATTGGTGTTTCCACCACCTGGCCATCTACCGTAGGAAGAGTGTATTGGTGTTTCCACCACCTGGCCATCTACCGTAGGATGAGTGTACTGGTGTTTCCACCACCTGGCCATCTACCGTAGGATGAGTGTATTGGTGTTTCCACCACCTGGCCATCTACCGTAGGATGAGTGTACTGGTGTTTCCACCACCTGGCCATCTACCGTAGGATGAGTGTATTGGTGTTTCCACCACCTGGCCATCTACCGTAGGATGAGTGTACTGGTGTTTCCACCACCTGGCCATCTACCGTAGGATGAGTGTATTGGTGTTTCCACCACCTGGCCATCTACCGTAGGATGAGTGTACCTGGTGTTTCCACCACCTGGCCATCTACCGTAGGATGAGTGTACTGGTGTTTCCACCACCCTGGCCATCTACCGTAGGATGAGTGTATTGGTGTTTCCACCACCTGGCCATCTACCGTAGGATGAGTGTACTGGTGTTTCCACCACCTGGCCATCTACCGTAGGATGAGTGTATTGGTGTTTCCACCACCTGGCCATCTACCGTAGGAAGAGTGTATTGGTGTTTCCACCACCTGGCCATCTACCGTAGGATGAGTGTACTGGTGTTTCCACCATCTACCTGAGGTACTGGTGTTTCCACCATCTACCGTAGGATGAGTGTATTGGTGTTTCCACCACCTGGCCATCTACCGTAGGGATGTTTCCACCACCTGGCCATCTGTAGGATGAGTGTATTGGTGTTTCCACCACCTGGCCATCTACCGTAGGATGAGTGTACTGGTGTTTCCACCACCTGGCCATCTACCGTAGGATGAGTGTATTGGTGTTTCCACCACCTGGCCATCTACCGTAGGATGAGTGTACTGGTGTTTTGGCCATCCACCGTGGCCATCTACTGGTGTTTCCACCACCTGGATCTGAGTAGGTACTGGTGTTTCCACCACCTGGCCATCTACCGTAGGATGAGTGTATTGGTGTTTCCACCACCTGGCCATCTACCGTAGGAAGAGTGTATTGGTGTTTCACCACCTGGCCATCTACCGTAGGATGAGTGTACTGGTGTTTCCACCACCTGGCCATCTACCGTAGGATGAGTGTATTGGTGTTTCCACCACCTGGCCATCTACCGTAGGATGAGAAAATTTTTGTTTCACCACCTGGCCATCTACCGTAGGATGAGTGTATTGGTGTTTCCACCACCTGGCCATCTACCGTAGGATGTAGTGGTGTTTCCACCACCTGGCCATCTACCGTAGGATGAGTGTACTGGTGTTTCCACCACCTGGCCATCTACCGTAGGAAGAGTGTATTGGTGTTTCCACCACCTGGCCATCTACCGTAGGAAGAGTGTACTGGTGTTTCCACCACCTGGCCATCTACCGTAGGAAGAGTGTATTGGTGTTTCCACCACCTGGCCATCTACCGTAGGATGAGTGTATTGGTGTTTCCACCACCTGGCCATCTACCGTAGGATGAGTGTATTGGTGTTTCCACCACCTGGCCATCTACCGTAGGATGAGTGTACTGGTGTTTCCACCACCTGGCCATCTACCGTAGGATGAGTGTATTGGTGTTTCCACCACCTGGCCATCTACCGTAGGATGAGTGTATTGGTGTTTCCACCACCTGGCCATCTACCGTAGGAAGAGTGTACTGGTGTTTCCACCACCTGGCCATCTACCGTAGGATGAGTGTATTGGTGTTTCCACCACCTACCGTAGGCCATCTACCGTAGGAAGAGTGTATTGGTGTTTCCACCACCTGGCCATCTACCGTAGGATGAGTGTATTGGTGTTTCCACCACCTGGCCATCTACCGTAGGATGAGTGTATTGGTGTTTCCACCACCTGGCCATCTACCGTAGGAAGAGTGTATTGGTGTTTCCACCACCTGGCCATCTACCGTAGGATGAGTGTACTGGTGTTTCCACCACCTGGCCATCTACCGTAGGATGAGTGTATTGGTGTTTCCACCACCTGGCCATCTACCGTAGGATGAGTGTATTGGTGTTTCCACCACCTGGCCATCTACCGTAGGATGAGTGTATTGGTGTTTCCACCACCTGGCCATCTACCGTAGGATGAGAGTGAGTGTATTGGTGTTTCCACCACCTGGCCATCTACCGTAGGATGAGTGTACTGGTGTTTCCACCACCTGGCCATCTACCGTAGGATGAGTGTATTGGTGTTTCCACCACCTGGCCATCTACCGTAGGATGAGTGTACTGGTGTTTCCACCACCTGGCCATCTACCGTAGGATGAGTGTATTGGTGTTTCCACCACCTGGCCATCTACCGTAGGATGAGTGTATTGGTGTTTCCACCACCTGGCCATCTACCGTAGGATGAGTGTATTGGTGTTTCCACCACCTGGCCATCTACCGTAGGACCCTGGAGTGTATTGGTGTTTCCACCACCTGGCCATCTACCGTAGGATGAGTGTATTGGTGTTTCCACCACCTGGCCATCTACCGTAGGATGAGTGTATTGGTGTTTCCACCACCTGGCCATCTACCGTAGGATGAGTGTACTGGTGTTTCCACCACCTGGCCATCTACCGTAGGATGAGTGTACTGGTGTTTCCACCACCTGGCCATCTACCGTAGGATGGAGTGTGCTGTACTGGTGTTTCCACCACCTGGCCATCTACCGTAGGATGAGTGTATTGGTGTTTCCACCACCTGGCCATCTACCGTAGGATGAGTGTACTGGTGTTTCCACCACCTGGCCATCTACCGTAGGATGAGTGTATTGGTGTTTCCACCACCTGGCCATCTACCGTAGGATGACTGGGTTCTTTTGAGTGCACAGGATGATCATAAGCACTAGCGACAATACTGCAGAGACTATAGGAGACCTGGCGCTTTATATCGCCTGCCCACTCCTGCTCCAGGTCTCTCGGCTGCACGTATATGTGGTCTCTGGGCATCTTAGTCTGTGTTGCCATGTCTCTCAGTAGCACGTAGATACGGTGTCTAGGCATCCGACTCTGTGTTGCCATGTCTCTCAGTAGCACGTAGATACGGTGTCTAGGCATCCGACTCTGTGTTGCCACACGTGCTGCTTGGAGACATTACCAATCAATCATTCTATCAATCATGTTAGCTTCAAATCACTCCTGCTGGTATATATAGAGTACTGTGACATCAGTTGACACTGCGATATTATGATGGCTTACATCATTATTCATACGCATGTATAAATAACACAGGGCGTAAATCATAGGGCGCGATTTGATTGACAGATGTAACCACCCACCAAACAGTGAAATAGATAGTGTCTGAATATCTTAAAGTATACCTTTAAACGTAGCTCATAGAGCATATTTTAGATACAGCGGAGAGAAATGTGGTGGTTTCCTGTTGTTGACAGATGTACACATGACTTGAGAATCGTTTTCTGTCTGGTGTGATGTGAAAGCTACACACTTTATATTTCTTTGAAAATATAGGACATGATATTACATACGGCCCACTTGTCTTTCCACGTCAGCTGAAATATCTGCTGGCGTGTTCCTGCATCGCCGCTTGTCATCTGAATGATGCCCAGGAACATATATACTAGCCACATAAAGAAACTGTGCATTGTCAAAATATTATCCCAGTTGATAAGTACGATAACAATGTCAAAGGTACATATAAACTTTAATGGAGGGATCATGAGGTCATAACAAGTCGGGAGAATTTCAATTGAAAAGTCAATCACAATGACGTCACGAGTCCACAAGCGGGACAGGGGTCAAACGACCATGTCACAAGCTCAATAACGGGTATGTCCACCATCGGCATTGAGAACAGCAGTGCATCGACGACGCATAGAGCCTATCAAACGTGCAAGGAAGGCTTGTGGGATGTCACGCCAGATTCTCTCAAGTTCTGTTGCAAGGTCAAGGACGTTATCTGGCGGATGAGGAAGACGGCGTAGACGTCGATCCATCTCGTCCCAAACATGCTCTATCGGGGAGAGATCCGGTGAATTTGCAGGCCAAGGCAGTAAGTCAACGTTGTGGTGTTGCAAGAAATCCATAGCAACCCTTGCCGTATGAGGGCGGGCATTGTCCTGTTGGAATGTTAACCCAGGGCCATGGCGTTGCAGAAAAGGAATTGCCACAGGTCGAAGAATCTGATCCCTGTATCCCACACCAGTTAAGTTGCCCTGAACAATCACCACAGGAGTTCTTTGGCGTGCTGTTATTCCACCCCAAATCATCACGGAACCACCACCAAAGCTATTCCTCTCCAAGACACAGGCCTGTGCATAACGTTCTCCCACGCGTCTATAGGCACGTTGAAGTCCATCACTATGGGAAATGTTAAACCTGGACTCATCTGTAAAAACAACATTTCTCCACCAAAACAAGGGTCTGCGGACATGATTTCGGCACCACATTCGGCGAGCTTGTCGATGACGTTGTGTCAGGATAGGGCGTATGGCGGGACGTCGTGGTCTGATCCCGTGATGACGTAAACGTTGTCTAACTGTGTTGGGATGGAACCTGTCCTGGGATGGTTCGGGCAGTCATCACTGTAGTCTGAAACCTGTGGCGAAGATGGGTTACCCTTATCCATATGTCCTGTCTTGGCGTTATTACACGTGGACGTCCAGAACGTGGCCGATCGATGACGTCATTTGTGTTCTGGTAGCGTCTCACCAGTGCAGAAATGGTGTTCCGGTGGCAGTGGAAATGTGCAGCCACTTGTCGTTGAGACATTCCCCCACTGACCATCCAAATGGCCTCATGACGTTGTGCAGACGTGAGCCTTGTCATGCTATGCGTTTCAACAGCCGTTTACTTTTTCGAACGATCGCAAGGGCAGGGGTTGAGCTTTCCAAAGTGACAGCATTGTGTGGCATTCATTTGCTCTGTTTCTCTTTCCCGGAATGCACGTGCAACAAGGTATTGCACGTCTCAAGGACGAACCCACTGACGTCACGGAACGTGGCACGTGCATGCATGTTGAATACATGTCACTAATCTCTGAGTTTAAATCCTTATGTGTTTACACGGGTTTGATAAATTTAGATTTTAATTTTTAATGCGCAGTTTCTTTATGTGCCTAGTAGATGACGCATTTCTTAAGCGTACTAAGAAATTACCCATGCCGTATTGCCGTATTACACAAGATGGCTGATAGGTTGTGATCAATGAAATGGTCTTTGCTCACGTGGGTGAATACACTGCTAGTATGCCATATGGATGGCGGATGCATACAATGAAAGTATGCTGCATGGATGCATACAATTGTTTTATGTCACGTGTATCGATGTAATTGTCGTATATCACGTGCCACAACCGCATAAGATCATAGATGGTGTCTGCATGGTCATTTGTCATTTGGCTAGATATACGCCACGTGGGTGAATATAATGGTATGGAGTGGTCGTATGTCACGTGGGTGTTTGTAGTGGTCGTATGTCACGTGGGTGTATGTAGTGGCCGTATGTCACGTGGATGTATGTAGTGGTCGTGTGTCACGTGGGTGTATGTAGTGGTCGTATGTGACGTGGGTGTATGTAGTGGTCGTATGTCACGTGGTTGTATGTAGTGGTCGTATGTCACATGGGTGTATGTAGTGATCGTTTGTCACGTGGGTGTTTGTAGGGGTCGTATTGCACGTTGGTGAATTCAATGGCCGTCAATGTCATGTAGGTGAATGGAATGGCCGTCAGTGTCATGTAGGTGAATGGAATGGCCGTCAGTGTCATGTAGGTGAATGGAATGGCCGTCAGTGTCGTATAGGTGAATGGAATGGTCATCAGTGTCATGTAGGTGAATGGAATGGCCGTCAGTGTCATGTAGGTGAAACGAATGGCCATCAGTGTCATGTAGGTGAATGAAATGGTCGTCAGTGTCATGTAAGTGAATACAATGGCCATAATTGTCATGTTGTTGAATACAATGATCCTATACCAAGTGAGGCAATATATAATTGTGCCCTGATCATAAGAGAGTGTATTACGTTATTGAATCCTCGCGTCAACATGTCACCGGTGTTGTTGAACAGAACAAAAGAAGAATATTTGATATGAAATTGTTCCACTCCATGCTAGCTCATGGATATTATGGTGGTGTTTTCTGTTGAAGGTCCCCGTTCGCCATACATCTCGAACAATGGATGTCGGACACTGTGTGGCGTTATGGGTGTTCATGGGGGCGTTATTAATGACGTCACTTGAAGGACACAACTACGGTGCACCAAGGGGGGCGTGTGTTGACATGGTTCCTCAGCACAACAGCCGACCCCGTGACCCCCCAGCACCCATCGACATCACCCTGTCCAATACAACCTACACCCCAGGTGTACCTATAACAGGTGAGTCACATTTTGACATTCTGGGTCGGCCGAATTACCAGTGTATGAACTCCAGGTATTCCTATGACGCGAGGGGCGGTGGGGTAGCCTAGTGGTTAAAGCGTCCTGTCGTCACGCCGCAGACCCGGGTTCGATCTGCCACATGGGCGCAACGTGTGAAGCCCAATTCTGGTGTCCCCCGGAATTGCTGGAATATTGCACATGTCTATGACACATGACAGGGTTACATTCCATGTCGGCCGAGATACCAGTATATAAACTGCAGGTGATCCTGTGACACGTGAGGCTGTTGCAGCACTATACAGGTTCTGTTACATTACCGGGTACAGTCCTAGTATCCCAGCACACATTAGCTGAATTGTTTGTTTCTGTCTGTTGATATTCATCTGCCCCTATGTTTGATTGTTCCAGTCACGCTCTCTGCCAACAGTGGTAAGTTCTTCAAGGGATTCCTGATACAAGCCAGAGTGACTGACCACGGGCCCAATCGAGGAGACGCGGTCGGGACATTCACCCCAATAGACGGAACTAAACAGACCTGCGATTTCGTAAGAACAATATATCATACATTAGAATAGGTAAAACGTATGAGTAGCGCCTTGTAGGACAGTTGTAGACTCACTTTCAAGTGACTTCTTCAGGGGGTTGCACTTACCCACTCGGATGCGAGGGAGAAGACGAGGCTGGTGTTGCAGTGGAATCCTCCTTCCACGTTAAAGGGCAACATCCAATTCAGGTGAGCTACAACACGATCAACATATCTGTGTTTGTCATTATGAGAAGCCCCGTCTAATTTAATGAAAGTATCAAAGTCATAACAGTCAATTATGAAGTGAATTTATTATTACTGTCTAATATAATCACCTCCCGGACACATATAAGAAGCCACGATCTTCTAGTGCTATGACGTGTTCAACAACATCCCTAGAGTTTATCGGCGTACGTTACCCGTCGTTTATCCCACTTATAGCACAACTATTGTGGAGAGACAGTACTCCTACTGGGTAGCGCTACCTTCTGATACCCTTGCCGAGGGACAGACAACTACGTCGTCCTCCACCACCACCACCACCACTACCCAGGCGACATCTTCATCCGTGTCTACAGCTACCACGTCAATGTCAGTAAGCGTGGAATCTCAAAAGGCGAGTGTTTATTTAACGTAAATGTTAATCTGCTCATAAACCTAACTATACATGTACTCGTCGCTTTTCTGAAACTGTTCATTCAACAAGTGGATCTTTATGTTTCAAAATTATTAACAAAATTGAAACCACATTAAACGACAATCTGAAAAGGGTAAATGATTGGGCAAACAAGTGGTTGATATCCAGTGATCCAGATCAGACAGAATCAGTACTTTTCTCACTCAAAGATGATATAGGCTAGATTTACTTGTGGTAAGTGGTTTATTCAACAAGAGACGTAGGCCGTCGGCCCATGACACCGCAGTTGTACAGCAGCCACAGTATATATTGCATTCATTAACAGATTTGTTCTCAATTGCATGGCATTCTCAACATACATTGCCAACACTGTTATCACTGGATATTAAAAGATTAAATTTAGCTAATGTTGGAAATACGTTACGTTAGTATTTCCTAGGAATAAACTGTTCACGTAAATCGAAATAAGCCTGGCATACAAACAAGAAGTAGTACTCATCTTCGAGATAGTTCATTTTACAAACATCACAAAATCTTTTATTTCTTGGGACATTTGAATATCTACCCATCTCAATTTTCAGTTGGTGAGAACTACATCTAAACTTAGCTAAAGCGACACGAAATTTCCGAATTGTTATATGCTTAATATAATGCTCTGGATATAAGTTTAACTTGTACATAGAATAATTATATGTTTTAGAACCTTTTGACAAAGATGCATGCCAAACGTGCAGATAAATACATTTAGTTCTATCCATAAATTCTGATAAAAATGACTGAATATTATCAATGCACTGGCTATCCCAAACATAGCCAAATCCACTTTTAAATAACACATTTCTCAGTTTTGAAGCCCAATTACATTAACCATGGCTCATATCTAACATTAACATGTTGTAACAGTTCTTGGGTAAGCCTGAGTTTGGCAGTTTATACCTATATTTTGTACAACGGTTTTAGGCAAGGATATATACTGGGTATCTCCCACACTCGCCACGAACGACATGGTTTGAAGTTGACGTTTTCACACCAAGAAAATTTTTACATGCTTGAACATGAACTCCTTCAATAGCACTGCTAATCTTACATTCAGAATCAAAGTCTCCATATTTCAAAGTCCCCATATTTCAGAACCATACAATAAAACTGACATCACTTTACTATCAAAACCTTAAAGAAATCATTACATGGTAATGGTCTAAGCTTCGACAGACATTTTAAAACTTTTCTAGATTGCAACGATGAACTTATAAATTGCTTATGCCCACTTAGATTCCTAGAAAATACCACCCCTAAATATCTATAAGATGAGACACATTCAATAAGATTGATCAAAATACCATTTTTCGCCCCTCGAAAGAACTCCGCCGTTTTTAAAGACAACCACTTTAGTTTTATCAAAATTTACAGTTAAATTATATTGGTGGCAATACTGTTGTAACACGTTAATTCGATTTTGTAACCGTCCAATAGTGTCAGATATAAGAACGACGTCATCCGCAAACAGTAATAAGAATAGACGAGTCAAGTCTGGATGTAACTGGATGCCAGGATAACATGAACTTTCTATTTCATCAGCAAGATCATTAATGAACAACGAAAAAAGCAGTGGGCGTAAGACACATCCCTGACGAACTCCAACATTACACTCAAACATACCTGAAACTAAATTCTTAAATTTCACACACGATTTTACGCTCTCATAGGTAGATTCAATACACCCTAACATTTTTGGCGAATCTCGCTTGTGTTGTAAAACTGACCACAGCTTAGAACGATTAACAAAATCGAAAGCCTTAGCAAAATCTACAAATATGGCATAGACTTTACCTTTCTATTTTACTTATTATTTGATGATATGATTTTGAAACAAAACGTCATAAACATTTAAGGATAATACTTTCATCGATAGGAAAGTGGTCCTCACATTTATCTGATATTGTTTCCAAAACCACGAAAATGATCTAATCAACTTAAATACCTTCTTAACAGAAACACGCTTCTGAAGATTATACACTGTTTTCATAAGACCTCATTTTGAGTACGCATGCGAAGTTTGGGATGGTGTGAAAAGCTCGAAAGACTCCAGATAGGAGCAGCAAGAATTATTTCAGGACTTCCCAAGTGATCTTCCTATATTCACTACATTATTAAACAGGTTTAGAAACACTATCAGAAAGTAGAAGAATAAGAACATTGTCTCTGTCCAATAATATTCAGAACAAACGAGTCCAGTTTACCTGAAAATAGTTTATCAGTGCGTAGGCTCGATGAGTGACTATATCTATAAAAAACAGTCCGTCAACTTAACTTTTGGCACCCTGTTTTTCACAACAGAGACTGACATGAAAATCGGGGACCGTCTCAAAACATGCAAAGAAAAGAAAGCTTGAAGAATTCGATAGAAGGGTTGTGAGGGACGTCATGCGTCGGTTACATCAATCCAGTGAGGCCATATCGTCAAGCAAACTGAAGAAAATATTGTTCTAAAGAAGACCTGACATCAATGTATCAAAGCATACCATATGCAAGCTGTTGCTCAAATTTGGATCTTGATACAAGAGATTGAGCAACCAGTATTTAAAAACTTCAATAAATCTGCTTGTTTAAAATGGATTTGTGATGATTATACAGTCCCTTTAGATTTGCTTGCAGGCGTAACAATGTAAAAAAGATGCACGCGTGTCACACCATGTTGTTTGCTGTTCCATCGTATCATTTTACTCCCTTGTATAACTACTTCTATTTTTCATATTTTTATAAGATGGCTTCTTAAGGAGAAGCTTTAATAATTGACATAAAATTATGAAATTTAAACCTGAGATAGGTCATAAGATATAAAGAGTGTATGCCTAAAAACATTTTGAAGGCATTTTTGGTTAAAAGGTAAATTGTGAAAAACAGGGTGCCAAAAGTTCAGTTGACGGACTATAAGAAATACGGGCAATATGTTCAGAAGTAAATAGAAATAGGAAAATAATTACATCCAATACTTCAGATCCATTGTACTTTTCTGCTCAAAAAAGCAAAAACAATTTGTTTTAATATGGGTTTTATGAGTTGTAAGAACTTGTCCCCGAATATTCTTTTCACTTTGTGAATGAAATATGCTTAACTGAATTTTACTAAAACCTGTAACATCAGTAAGGAGAGGCCAATATTTTACTCAACATTCCTCAGCAAGCCGATATTTAAAGACGCTTCGTACACAATGGACGCTTCATTTCTAACATGTACTTTGTACAAACATCTGTGTCTGCTTGTCCTGGCCTCCAGATACCTTCCTCCATGGTGAACTGTTCTCTAGCAGAAGCCTGGAGAAGCCTGGATGTACAGATGTACTCTTCCTAACGTGGCAATCACACACACAATAGGATGTCAACACAAGTCAGTCAATACACTAACGCTTAGTCTCTGAATATATATAATTTTGATTGTAACAAATAAACCCATCTGAATTGAAAAGGAGACCCAGGGAGACCAGAAATTCAGAACCTGAGGAAATCTAGACTTGATTCATTTAGGGCTTTAGCATTGCAGAAAGGGCAAGACTGAAGGTATAATAATATGGTTCAGGGACTGTGAGACAGACTAGTCTGGTCTGTCAATTAATCGATCTCTGTAGTAGCCCTGTCTCCAATGCCGTGCATTGTCCAACCGATGTCTATATGTGTAATCCGATTTGGGTTAGCGTAAATGTAAGTATACAGAATCTACCCATGTCACCTACATGACGCCCTCACGATAAATAGACAAGCAAAATCGTCTATAGGTATATCGAATTACTCGTTTGTCCTTCATCTTGTCACAGCCGGACACAGTAAACCCGTCACAGCCAGCAACTGAGGCAGGAACACCCACAACTACCCCGTCATCATCATCACCCTCACCCAGTGCTGCAGCGCGGAGACAGCCAGGAACGATGACGTCACAAGTCCCGTGTGTCCTGGTGGGACTGATTCTGTTGTGGTGACCTATGGGTGTTTGAGGACTATGGTGCTAGTTATGTGTGATATTACTAGTGGATGAGTGGCTGGGGTTGTCTATCACTCATTGCAATCTTTATCTATCTATACAATAGTGGAATATTTACCACCGCATCCAACAGTCTGCATTTAATGTTTGACCGACACCATTTTCTAAATTATTGGATTCTAGTCAACGCCACTTAAACAAAGAACATTATGACCTTGTGAAGCAGATAGTTACAACCACCATCAGCAGATCCACTGTCGGATTCACGGGTGCTTACAACACTATTTCAGAGTATACTCAAGTTTCATAAAAATGAGGTGCTGCAATACTAAAGCTAAATCTTTTTGTGTTATGGTCGTGTTGCTTCGTGATTTATTAGCATGAACCCATCTCTTGCTGGTTAACTTGCAAATGACGATTCCAAACTTCTAATCCCTTCCTCTCCTAAACAGAGATATATGTACTTGCATGCGGTAGGGAACAGTGCCGTGGGTAACTAAATATGGTATGAACTTTGGTGAACACTCTACATTTGAGTCGCGACCAGAAACCTAAGCACATGCCCTGGCTAACTACGGCAAAATGTAGCTGCTTGATGGAGCCGCACAAAATATGTTAACGTTAACTCATTTCACTTTCACAAACTGTTTGTATAAAACCAATCTGAACTGTATGTGTGTTTGTCTGATCTGTTGGACCACTGTAACTTGATGTTGGGTCACTACTCATGGTAGAGGCACACCTGCATCTGTATGTGTGTTGGTCTGATCTGTTGGGTCACTACTCACGGTAGTGACACACCTGCATCTGTATGTGTGTTGGTCTGATCTGTTGGGTCACTACTCACGGTAGTGACACACCTCATGATGACCCTGCATCTGTATGTGTGTTGGTCTGATCTGTTGGGTCACTACTCACGGTAGTGGCACACCTGCATCTGTATGTGTGTTGGTCTGATCTGTTGGGTCACTACTCATGGTAGTGACACACCTGCATCTGTATGTGTGTTGGTCTGATCTGTTGGGTCACTACTCATGGTAGTGACACACCTGCATCTGTATGTGTGTTGGTCTGATCTGTTGGGTCACTACTCATGGTAGTGACACACCTGCATCTGTATGTGTGTTGGTCTGATCTGTTGGGTCACTACTCATGGTAGTGACACACCTGCATCTGTATGTGTGTTGGTCTGATCTGTTGGGTCACTACTCACGGTAGTGGCACACCTGCATCTGTATGTGTGTTGGTCTGATCTGTTGGGTCACTACTCATGGTAGTGACACACCTGCATCTGTATGTGTGTTGGTCTGATCTGTTGGGTCACTACTCATGGTAGTGACACACCTGCATCTGTATGTGTGTTGGTCTGATCTGTTGGGTCACTACTCATGGTAGTGACACACCTGCATCTGTATGTGTGTTGGTCTGATCTGTTGGGTCACTACTCATGGTAGTGACACACCTGCATCTGTATGTGTGTTGGTCTGATCTGTTGGGTCACTACTCACGGTAGTGACACACCTGCATCTGTATGTGTGTTGGTCTGATCTGTTGGGTCACTACTCACGGTAGTGACACACCTGCATCTGTATGTGTGTTGGTCTGATCTGTTGGGTCACTACTCATGGTAGTGACACACCTGCATCTGTATGTGTGTTGGTCTGATCTGTTGGGTCACTACTCACGGTAGTGACACACCTGCATCTGTATGTGTGTTGGTCTGATCTGTTGGGTCACTACTCATGGTAGTGACACACCTGCATCTGTATGTGTGTTGGTCTGATCTGTTGGGTCACTACTCACGGTAGTGGCACACCTGCATCTGTATGTGTGTTGGTCTGATCTGTTGGGTGAGTGACACACCTGCATCTGTATGTGTGTTGGTCTGATCTGTTGGGTCACTACTCATGGTAGTGACACACCTGCATCTATATGTGTGTTGGTCTGATCTGTTGGGTCACTACTCACGGTAGTGACACACCTGCATCTGTATGTGTGTTGGTCTGATCTGTTGGGTCACTACTCACGGTAGTGACACACCTGCATCTGTATGTGTGTTGGTCTGATCTGTTGGGTCACTACTCATGGTAGTGACACACCTGCAGCTGTATGTGTGTTGGTCTGATCTGTTGGGTCACTACTCACGGTAGTGGCACACCTGCATCTGTATGTGTGTTGGTCTGATCTGTTGGGTCACTACTCATGGTAGTGACACACCTGCATCTGTATGTGTGTTGGTCTGATCTGTTGGGTCAGTGACACACCTGCATCTGTATGTGTGTTGGTCTGATCTGTTGGGTCACTACTCACGGTAGTGGCACACCTGCATCTGTATGTGTGTTGGTCTGATCTGTTGGGTCACTACTCACGGTAATGACACACCTGCATCTGTATGTGTGTTGGTCTGATCTGTTGGGTCACTCCTCACGGTAGTGACACACCTGCATCTGTATGTGTGTTGGTCTGATCTGTTGGGTCACTACTCACGGTAGTGACACACCTGCATCTGTATGTGTGTGTTGGTCTGATCTGTTGGGTCACTACTCATGGTAGTGACACACCTGCATCTGTATGTGTGTTGGTCTGATCTGTTGGGTCACTACTCACGGTAGTGGCACACCTGCATCTGTATGTGTGTTGGTCTGATCTGTTGGGTCACTACTCATGGTAGTGACACACCTGCATCTGTATGTGTGTTGGTCTGATCTGTTGGGTCACTACTCACGGTAGTGACACACCTGCATCTGTATGTGTGTTGGTCTGATCTGTTGGGTCACTACTCACGGTAGTGACACACCTGCATCTGTATGTGTGTTGGTCTGATCTGTTGGGTCACTACTCATGGTAGTGACACGCCTGCATCTGTATGTGTGTTGGTCTGATCTGTTGGGTCACTACTCATGGTAGTGGCACACCTTCATCTGTATGTGTGTTGGTCTGATCTGTTGGGTCACTACTCATGGTAGTGGCACACCTCATGATGACCCTGCATCTGTATGTGTGTTGGTCTGATCTGTTTGGTCACTACTCACGGTAGTGACACACCTCATGATGACCCTGCATCTGTATGTGTGTTGGTCTGATCTGTTGGGTCACTACTCACGGTAGTGACACACCTCATGATGACCCTGCATCTCGGATACTGCAGGAAGCAGTTTTTGCTGATGATGGCTGATTGTCCTCTGGGACTCGCCAAAACTAAATGATATTTTGTTTGAAAACGTGTCTCCATTTCACAGTCATAAATCCTAGTAGGCATAAGAGAGGCAATTCGTCATCCTGGGTCTCCAAGTGTGTTTCCTGGTCTGGTTCTGTGTCCTGGTGTGTCGCCCAGAATCTCCCAGAATATGCCACGATACGATTTACAGATATTCTCATGGTGACTCAACAATATGGCCGACAACATCTCTCAGTGAGACTCATGGTGACTCTTAGAATCTCTTAATGGGACTCACGATATGACTCTTAGAATCTCTCAATGTGACTAACGATTTGACTCACAGAGTCTCTCAATGTGAGTCACTATACGACTCACAGAATTTCTGATTGTGACTGACGTTATGACTCACAGGATCTCTCGATGTGTCTCTTTGGTCCTTGCTGACAAAATACTCTGTACAGGACTGCTTCCCCAAGGCACGCCACCTATAAACCTGGGTTCGAATCCAGTTTCTCCCCGATTACGTTCATACGGACACTCACTCACTCACTCACTTAGTGTGTTTCATGATATATCTGTCATTGGTTTTCTCAATGTGCCCCGTTGAGACTAATGGCTTGGTTAATACAATTAATCGTTGCCCATAACACCAAATACCTACTTGTTCAGGGCAGGCTTATTATTCACAAAACGAACAGCTACAATATAGTCAAGAGCGCCGGCTACAACACCAAAACAAACAAACACACACACACACACACACACACACACACACACACACACACACACACACACACACACACACACACACACACACACACACACACACACACACACACACACACACACACAGACACACACAGAGAGAGAGACACACACACAGACACTCACAGACATAGAGAGAGATACACACACATAGACAGACACACACACATACACACACACACAGAGACATAAAGAGAGATACACACACACACACATACACACTATGTATTGCGTTACACAGTGTATCTCGATGTGTCTTGTCAGTGGTTGTTTCACTGTGTCTCGCACACAATGTATTTCGGTACGGTGCAGTTCTGTACAGTGCTACGTGATATGTAGAGCAGCAACAGCAGAGGTCACTGGCCACATCTCCCTTCAGTGTTAGGGGACATTCTGCAAATACCTGGTGGCGCTGAGACTGAAGGTGTTTGTACATCCCGACCCACAGACGTGTGAGGTGGACACTGAGGGGTTGACTGACGACACAAACCGTGAATAACTACACATGTAGAGCGACACTGTCGCCATCCCTTCGCCGCCAGCCACAGTCACATTCACATTCGCCTTCACATTCACTGATGCTGTCAGTCACCGTCACATTCACCTACACCGTCAGTCACCTTCGCATTCACTGATGCCACCAGTCACAATCACTTTCACCTTCACCGTCAGTCACCTTCGCATTCACTGATGCCACCAGTCACAATCACTTTCACCTACACCGTCAGTCACCTTCGCATTCACTGATGCCACCAGTCACAATCACTTTCACCTTCACCGTCAGTCACATTCACATTCACCTTCACCGTCAGTCACCTTCACCTTCACCTCGACGTCGGTCACCTTCACATTCACCTTCGACGTCAGTCACCTTCACATTCACCTTCGACGTCAGTCACCTTCACATTCACTGATGCCGTCAGTCACCATCACTTTCATCTTCGCCGTCGGTCACCTTCACTTTCACCTTCGCCGTCAGTCACCTTCACATTCACCTTCGCTGTCAGTCACCTTCACATTCACCTACACCGTCAGTCACCTTCACATTCACTGATGCCGTCAGTCACCATTACTTTCATCTTCGCCGTCGGTCACCTTCACTTTCACCTTCGCTGTCAGTCACCTTCACATTCACCTTCGCCGTCAGTCACCTTCACATTCACTGATGCTGTCAGTCACCATCACTTTCACCTTAGCCAATGGTCACCTTCACTTTCACCTTCGCTGTCAGTCACAGTCACTTTCACCTTCGCCGTCGGTCACATTCACCTTCACCTTCGCTGTCAGTCACTGTCACATTCACCTTCGCCATCAGTCACCTTCACATTCACTGATGCCGTCAGTCACCATCATTTTCACCTTCGCCGTCGGTCAGCTTCACATTCACCTTCGCCGTCAGTCACCATCACTTTCACCTTCGCCGTCAGTCACCATCACACTTACCTTCGAGGTAGATCTATCTACATGACATACACATCACCAAGTATTCGAGGTAGATCTACCTACATGACACACACATCACCAAGTCTTCGAGGTAGATCTATCTACATGACACACACATCACCAAGTCTTCGAGGTAGATCTACCTACATGACACACACATCACCAAGTACTCCAGGTAGATCTATCTACATGACACATACATCACCAAGTCTTCGAGGTAGATCTACCTACATGACACACACACATTACCAAGTACTCGAGGTAGATCTATCTACATGACACATACATCACCAAGTACTCGAGGTAGATCTACCCCCATGACACATATATCACATGTATTCGAGGTAGATCTACCTACATGACGCACACATCACCAAGTACTCGAGGTAGATGGTACGACAGAAATGAGAACTTGCTGTGTGCGCCAGGTCATATAAACCATTAATCATACTGCAATCATGAGAACTGTTCCCATATCAAGTATTTGCCTCTGGGGATAAAAAACTATCATGTTTAGTTGCTTTCTGTAATCGTTATGTTATCAATCATTACAGTCACAATCAACACAATCGGTATGTAATAGATCATGTCTACATTACCTCTGTCTGCTGTAACGAGAGGCCAATAGTGATCTGTCATATTCAGTACATCACAGATCGCCCAGTTGATTGACATTTTTTACAACATCATTGACTCAGAATAGATACACTCATAGATGACCTCATGATCGTTAACTTTTAAAGAATCCAGTTTGCACTGTCCAGAAAATACGTACATAGTCTGATGTGCATCATCCGTTATAAAGATCCCTTTTGCAAGAACAACATACAGTACAACAAGAAAGTACTGAGAATTTCAGATTGTAATTTTTTTTTAAATTTTCACTCATAACTCGCGTATTAAAGTGAATATTAGCAGAACATAACTCCAGATTCAAAGACAGGTGAACAGTTAGTATTTTGTCAAGTCACCATGGGCAGCAATGCAGGCTTCAATGCGGCGGGGCATGCTACTGATCAAAGAAGTGAGAAAGTCGTGGTCCATGGTGTCCCAATATCGGACCACCTCTTCTTTCATTTCAGCAATATTTGTCAGATTTTGCTTATTGACACTTTCCTTCATAAGACCCCAAACATTTTCTATTGGATTTAGGTCAGGGCTATAGCTTGGCCAATCTAATAATGTCATCCTTTGCCTATGCAGCACCAGTGGCCTGGAACAAACTTCCACAGAATCTCAGGGACTGTACTGACTCTGTCACTTTCAAATCCCAGTTAAAACACATTTGTTCAGGACAGCCTTTTCAACTATAACTGTGTAATTTGTTACATTCTATCTGCGCTTTGAGCATGGACTGCATGGATACCAGCGCATTACAAATGTGTTATGATGATGATGATGGTATTTTGGGTCCGAAACCAGGCCTGTGAATGCTTTGAACGATGCTTTTGGTCGTTGTCCTGCTGGAAAATCAAACAATTTCTATAGAACACGTGAGCAGATGGAACTAAATGTCCCTCGAGAATATCTGTGTACCGCTCACTGTTCATATTCCCTTCAAATACACAGAGGGGCATTGCCCCTAACACAGATATGCCACCCCACACGTTAAATTTCGGACTGTACTTTGGGCGCTGATACAAAGGTTTTTCAGTTTGTTTGGTCCAGAATATCAGTGTATTAGGAAACAACAACACAGAACTTTCATCTGAGAAAATCACATTGTCCCAGTTAAAATTTCTATGCTGTAAGCACCAGTTCAACCTTCGCTCCTTTTGTTCAGGTTTCATGATTGGTGATGGAATTCCTCAACTTTTCTGCCAACCCATTGCATGCAGCTCAGTTCTAATTGTCTCCTTACAGACAGCCACAGTTCCTCTATCAATCCAGCCTTAAGTTTTCTAAACTCCTTCGTTTGTTTTTAGAAACAAGAATACCAAGCCACCTCCTGTCACCGACAGGCAACTTTCTGGGCCTACCTGCACCTCCCTGGTGCTCAATGCCATGTCCATGTGAAATATTTTTCAAAACAGTAGACAAAGTGCCTGTTCTACTTGAAATCACTTTAGCTGACCTTGTTATAATACTCTAAAATCAATTTCCTCTTCTCTACATTATTCATACTGAGGATCACTGAAAATGTCATCTGCTAGCAAGTAAACAAAAGGGGATAACTCTTCACAAACTAATGAAAAATGAGTAACGGAGTTGTCTCTCTTGAATGAAACCAAGCACTTGATAGCTGGTCAAAGTTGTTTATACTAGAAATCCAATTAAACATATTCCTAAAATTCTCAATAATTTCTGGTCATACTATAATACTGATAATAGTCGTACAGCATCTGCCCAAAACATATCCTTGTTTGGACCGTCTGACATCCGTGACAGAATGGGGCATACACAGGGTACACAGTACTGTCGGGCATACAAAGGTACACAGTACTGTCGGGCATACACAGGTACACATTACTGTCGGGCATACAAAGGTACACAGTACTGTCGGGCATACAAAGGTACACAGGACTGTCGGGCATACAAAGGTACACAGTACTGTCGGTCATACACAGGTACACAGTACTGTCGGGCATACAAAGGTACACAGTACTGTCGGGCATACAAAGGTGCACAGTACTGTCGGGCATACACAGGTACACAGTACTGTCGGTCATACACAGGTACACAGTACTGTCGGGCATACAACGGCACATAGTACTGTCGGGCATACAACGGCACACAGTACTGTCGGGCATACACAGGTACACAGTACTGTCGGGCATACAAAGGTACAAGGTACTGTCGGGCATACAAAGGTACACAGTACTGTCGGGCATACACAGGTACACAGTACTGTCGGGCATACACAGGTACACAGTACTGTCGGGCATACAAAGGTACACAGGACTGTCGGGCATACAAAGGTACACAGTACTGTCGGTCATACACAGGTACACAGTACTGTCGGGCATACAAAGGTACACAGTACTGTCGGGCATACAAAGGTGCACAGTACTGTCGGGCATACACAGGTACACAGTACTGTCGGTCATACACAGGTACACAGTACTGTCGGGCATACAACGGCACATAGTACTGTCGGGCATACAACGGCACACAGTACTGTCGGGCATACACAGGTACACAGTACTGTCGGGCATACAAAGGTACAAGGTACTGTCGGGCATACAAAGGTACACAGTACTGTCGGGCAGACACAGGTACACAGTACTGTCGGGCATACACAGGTACACAGTACTGTCGGGCATACACAGGTGCACAGTACATACAAAGATATAGTTCTTGTTTGTCTAGTACTTATATAATTCAGTTTGAATTGCAAGCTTACGCTTACTATCATGCTTTGCCATTACCGATTTTGAAATAGAAACTACCACCAGCAATGGTCAGTGGCGTGACAGTACTACTGGACAACGCTTAAAACTATACCATATGTTCTGTTTGTTGTTTGACGCCCAACTCAGCCATATTCCCACTATACCATATGTTCTGTTTGTTGTTTGACGCCCAACTCAGCAATATTCCAACTATACCATATGTTCTGTTTGTTGTTTGACGCCCAACTCAGCCATATTCCAACTATACCATATGTTCTGATTGTTGTTTGACGCCCAACTCAGCCATATTCCCACTATACCATATGTTCTGTTTGTTGTTTGACGCCCAACTCAGCAATATTCCAACTATACCATATGTTATGTTTGTTGTTTGACGCCCAACTCAGCAATATTCCAACTATACCATATGTTCTGTTTGTTGTTTGACGCCCAACTCAGCCATATTCCCACTATACCATATGTTCTGTTTGTTGTTTGACGACCAACTCAGCCAGATTCCAACTATACCATATGTTCTGTTTGTTGTTTGACGCCCAACTCAGCCAGATTCCAACTATACCATATGTTCTGTTTGTTGCTTGACGCCCAGCTCAGCCAGATTCCAACTATACCATATGTTCTGTTTGTTGTTTGACGCCCAACTCAGCCAGATTCCAACTATACCATATGTTCTGTTTGTTGTTTGACGCCCAACTCAGCCATATTCCAACTATACCATATGTTCTGTTTGTTGTTTGACGCCCAACTCAGCAATATTCCAACCATGTGACGGCGGTTTCTCAGTAGTGGAGCGGCAGCCTGGACAAGACAATCCATCGACTGACATTATGAGTATCGAGTATCTACACAACGGGGATACGACGACGTGGATCAGGAAGATTAGACTAACGCTTAGTCTCTGAATATATATAATTTTGATAGTAACAAACAAGCCCATTTGAATTGAAAAGGAGCCCCAGGGAGACCAGAGATCCTGAACCTGAGGAAATCTAGACTTGCTTTAAGTAGGGCTTTAGCACTGCAGAGAGGGCTTGGCAGTAGGGAAAATAATGTGGTTCAGGGACTGTGAGACAGACTACAGGAAGATTGACCCGGGTCTTCGCAGATAATATTTTATGTAGTAAGGGACGCGGAAACATCTGATGTGTGCGTGACCTGTAATAGACAAACATGTTATATATAGTACAGTTTTAATTTCCATTATCAATACTAGTATTTGATGTTTTTAAACATGTAAATTTGATTGGTTGGTTGATGGGATGTGTTACAAATATTTACAGTTCTAAGGAGATGTTACTTTTCCTCACAGATGGATGGTGAATTTAACTGCTTGTAATATAGGACGGCATTTATCTTATGTTACTTCTATAACATGACAGCGTTGCCTCAATGTTATCTGTAATATATGGCGCACCCGGATGCTTTCAGCGTGTGGAGCATCGTCCTTGCTGTCTGCCATAAGGACAATAATGAATCACGCACTGTCACGATACTTGTTTGTCATTCAAATACCGTGATTAAAAGAATTAACTCTAACAAACAACAAATGCAATTCCGTGCATGTTCTCTTTCACTACTGCGTATTAACGTCCCCAAGCAACGTGATTTTAGGCATTACTGTTGTAGTAATCAAGGGAAATTGTTCACTCTAAAAATGAACTGCGTCGCAAATATAGCCACGATAACAAGTCAAGTAGAAAAAGCAGCTATGTGTGGACAGACTTGAAAGCCCTTCAGCACAACCGGTCTCATGAATCATAACCAAGTAGTATGATTTACAAAAGGAATTCAGGTTGTTGTTCCCTCTTTGAAGTGTTTCAACAGAGATACGAAGGTATTGAAACACGACCTGGTGACTGGTCTAAGCTGATGGACAGTTGATGGACAGTTAATGGAAAGTTGAGTTACAAAGAGGTCAATGCACAGCCAGGTCATATCTTCACAACAAATCGATCAAGACATTTGTTTAGTAAATATTGTCATCTTGTTCAAAATAATAAATTTCACTAAAAACAGGTTTGTGCAAGTGTGTGCAATATCGATGCAATATTTATATGTTTTATATGTTTGTATGCTTTCAGTAGTTTAGATACTTTCTACGATATGCTAGGCCAATACAGTGTGTGTACATGCACAGTGACAAGTAGTTTAGATACTTTCTACGATATGCTAGGCCAAGTTTAGATACTTTCTACGATATGTTAGGCCAATACAGTGTGTGTACATGCACAGTGACAAGTAGTTTAGATACTTTCTACGATATGCTAGGCCAATACAGTGTGTGTACATGCACAGTGACAAGTAGTTTAGATACTTTCTACGATATGACTAGGCCAATACAGTGTGTGTACATGCACAGTGACAAGTAGTTTAGATACTTTCTACGATATGCTAGGCCAATACAGTGTGTGTACATGCACAGTGACAAGTAGTTTAGATACTTTCTACGATATGACAGTGACAAGTAGTTTAGACAAGTAGTTTAGATACTTTCTACGATATGCTAGGCCAATACAGTGTGTGTACATGCACAGTGACAAGTAGTTTAGATACTTTCTACGATATGCTAGGCCAATACAGTGTGTACATGCACAGTGACAAGTAGTTTAGATACTTTCTACGATATGCTAGGCCAATACAGTGTGTGTACATGCACAGTGACAAGTAGTTTAGATACTTTCTACGATATGCTAGGCCAATACAGTGTGTGTACATGCACAGTGACAAGTAGTTTAGATACTTTCTACGATATGCTAGGCCAATACAGTGTGTGTACATGCACCACATGCACAGTGACAAGTAGTTTAGATACTTTCTACGATATGTGTGTACATGCACAGTGACAAGTAGTTTAGATACTTTCTGCGATATGCTAGGCCAATACAGTGTGTACATGCACAGTGACAAGTAGTTTAGATACCGATAATACAGTGTGTGTACATGCACAGTGACAAGTAGTTTAGATACTTTCTACGATATGCTAGGCCAATACAGTGTGTGTACATGCACAGTGACAAGTACTTTCTACGATATTTAGATGACAAGTGTTTAGATTCTACGATATGCTAGGCCAATACAGTGTGTGTACATGCACAGTGACAAGTAGTTTAGATACTTTCTACGATATGCTAGGTCAATACAGTGTGTGTACATGCACAGTGACAAGTAGTTTAGATACTTTCTACGATATGCTAGGCCAATACAGTGTGTGTACATGCACAGTGACAAGTAGTTTAGATACTTTCTACTATATGCTAGGCCAATACAGTGTGTGTACATGCACAGTGACAAGTTGTTTAGATACTTTCTACGATATGCTAGGCCAATACAGTGTGTGTACATGCACAGTGACAAGTTGTTTAGATACTTTCTACGATATGCTAGGCCAATACAGTGTGTGTACATGCACAGTGACAAGTAGGGCATGAGTGTACAGTGTATGCTGGTGTCACGTCATGTGCTGTCTCACTGACGGACAAAGCATGACAGACATATTACCTAAGCTCATACATCTTAATCACCCGAAGACGACCAAGCACGCCATGTTCCGTAACAATGTTTACAATATCGTCATCACATATATCATCATATTCGACATCACCAGATGCCCGATAAAGACTCATGTCCAACTGACACGATCCGTTTGTCTGTATGTGACGCAAGTGCACACGCCCTGGAGCTGCGTCATGGCAGCCTTTCTAAAGACTGTCGATTGTATGCCTGTTGAAGAATCTCCACTTGTACGCGCCACCGGTTAATGTGTGCAGTGGAGCATGTCCGTGAACCTGGCGAGGCAACTGTCAACCTATTTTAGATAACGACCACGTGACAGTTGGAGGAACCGGTCGGAAGGAGAGATCCCTGTGTCATTCCTACCTGTGACCAGGTGAGAGAAGAGGCGTCAGGGAGGAGTTCTTCCAGTACCACTGCTTATGTCACAATCGAAAATAGGAGGACCTTGGCCAGAACGTTTGATTCGGAATCGAGGAGTAGTGGTTTGACTGAACTGTGGACCTTGTCGGCCTTTGACTTGTGTTTTTCGTGAATCTGGTGCCCCACTGGATACGTTGTACACGCCTGCATCATCAGCTGTCTCCACCCCCAGGTAGGCTGTTACAGTCATAGTGGCTGAACTTACAAGGAATGATATTGACTTAATTAATGGAGTTTGTTATAGCAATTGTAGCTTTCATATGAAAGTGTTTTATATAAACTTCTAGATCAAAGATTTAATGTTTATTATAAACCTGATATTGTCGTATATCAATTGAATCAGGCTGATTCAGTTAGATACGACAATGTCATCAGAAGAAACAGCACATAGTCATTGACATTATAAGCTGGTGAATTGGCAGGCGATGTAGATGTCAGTCATTTTGTCAGACAGTTCCTGCTGTCAGTCACTGCCACAACTGAGGAGATCACAGTGATAATACTCAGCAGAGATACTGTCGACATTTCTTTTCACGTTAGTTTTGCGATTGTCTCCGTATATCCTGCTTTGATGTGTGAAATCTCGCGTCAGATTTCCATCAATGAAGTTGGTGTTAATGAAGCCACATGTCAGTGAGTGGGACAAGCCCCTCCCTTGCAATATTGGAAATCAGGCCAACCAATACTTACACAGATAAACAGTCAATGAGACATGGTTGATAAACAAGAATCTAGGTCCCAGGCTCTACAGTCAACTTATAGAGTAGTAGGTGTAACCACTTCTCTTTCTCGGGGTGACTGTAAGGCTCGTCCATTCATGGGCATCAACGTTTAAAGTTAGCTGTCACATATGTTATCCTCGAAAGGTTTCCACCCAATTTGCTAGAAAGAGCACGAACGTATACCCCTATATTATCCTTCTTGGTTGTTAAACAACCATGACTATGCTGACTAACTACACCGTCATCCGGATGATATCAAACGTTATCAGTGAGG